ATATATATATATTAATATTAATATTATATTATACAATATAATAATTTTTTATTTAGTATTTCTTTATTATTATTTAATAGAAATCTTATATGAATATATATATATATAGTTCTATCTTCATATCTTGAATTTTATTCTTAGAATTTTCTTATCACATATATTATATTTTTTCAATATAATATTTACTATTATATAATAACCTATCATTAGAAAGGACCCATTGTTTCCAATAGCAAGGCAAATTGATTGCTCTGAATTTTCAAGTGCATAATAATCTTGAATATCATCAGATTTCAAGATAAATATTTTTCTAAATAAGAATAATTTATAAATATATAAGAATATTGAAGCCTATACGAATTTATTTGAATTTATTGATATAGCTTGTATGAATGCTATATCATAGATTCATTTATAATCAAGAAATATTCTAATCGATAATCTTATTTTGAATTTTTTATTTTTTACAAATTGCCGATATATCTTCTCTATACCGAAAAGAAATATTCGATATCTCATTTCTCTGAATTTCTCATTAATTCTATATATATATATATCTATCTATATATCTATTTTATCTATCTCTCTCCATCTCATTTTCAATCCCTATCTCGATTCAATCAAAAATATTTCTATTTGCCTAGATCAATTTGAATCTTTCTTTATGTGTCTAGATCTCGACCTATATCTATTTATTCTTGAATATTTTATTTGATTTATTTATTTCTTATTTATTTTTTCTTTTTATTTATTCATATATATCTCTCTCTATTTCTCAATCTCTGTCTTTTATTAATTTCTATTTCTCTTTATCTATCTGTCTATATATTAGAGCTTATATAGATTCAAATGTATTTTCCTAGTATTTTATTTATATCTTTTCCTAGAATTTTTCCTATTTGAAAAAAAAAATATATATATATATATGAACCGATAATTAGAATCGAAGATTCTTGATTTATTCAAGAATTAACGAGCTATTTAAAATTATTATTAATAATATTCTAATAAGATTCAGATACGATTTATCTTGAAAATTTGAAATAGAACCAATTTTTCTATGAAACGAGACGCATTGAGAGATGATTAGAGAGATGCGCTCAGCAATCCCCCATGAGGCATTCCAAGAGATACGACAAATGCACAGACAAACGCATTCCAAGACAGACATAGACACAGAGATACGTGTAGACCGAGGCGTACAAAGAGATATATGCACCCACGCACACAGACACGCAGAGAAATACCCGCATCAGAATGCACAGCACTACAGATCGCGGTACCAAACTTTTCGAAAATTTATGATCGCGAACACACCTCAAAAAATTCGGAAATTTTGTGACCGCGAGCATACCAATCGAAAATTACGGAAATTTTATTACCGAGAGCATATCCCCCTAAAACCTCCAAAATTTCCACCATTTTAGTATTGCGAGATTTCTTAAAGCTACTAAAATAATATTTTTCTTTTATTATGAGAAAGAAATTAGTTTCCCAGGGCGTCTTAGTTAGAAAAGTAAGAAATCAAGATTCGATAGTATATCGAAATTCATAGTTCGTAATATGTAACATCGTAAAAAATCAAAATATTATTTAAGAACGAGATAAAGGACAGGTTCTTATATATATATATGTATCCGAATCTTAAAAGAAATAATCTATATTCATAAGAATAATCATGTTCATATCTAATCTAATAATTTTTCAGAAGTACTAATTCATATACGACCGATTTTCTGTAAATCAGTAATATAGCTCTTTAGAATAGTTCTCATACTAAATTGCTCGTTCCTCTCACGATTGTTGCTATGTATAATGTCATGCTAAATTATATTCATTCTAGAGCTATAGATAGAGATACGCTATAATGAAGGAAATTGACCACCCACTATTTGTCATTTGGGGATTACAGTCGGGATTTAAGTGTCCGGAATACGACATAGCAGGATGTAGTTTATGAAAGCCGAAAGTTTCCAGTGTAATCCCATGAATCCTAGAATAAACTGCCAGGTGTAAGGCAGGGGGATCTAAAGCCTACATCCCTCAGTCTTAGCGCATTTTGCTGAGTTTTCGCGAGCGGAAAATGCAGAAGACGTCGTTCGGTACCCAGCGGGCCATCCTCCAAAAGCGATTCGGGCTTGCCTGTGGTGTTTAGGTCAGAAGAAGGGGTAGAGGCTACATGTGTGTTACTGAGATATCTCAATTTAGAGTACTTAGATTTTACCCTAAACCCCTAAACCCCTAAACCCTAAACCCTAAACCCATGGAATTGAGCCTACAGTTGGCGACAGGATTTGAATGTACAAGGAAGCTGGCCAGCATTGGTAAGTGGTTTAGGGTTTAGGGTTTAGGGTTTGTTGATTTGGACTTCACAACTTCTTAAACATATGAGCACTTTAGATCGGACTCCCCTAGTACTTTAGAATGAGAATGGATTGACGACACTGGCCCCGGACCCTTAGAAGAGGCATCTCGCCAAGGAATTCTACTGTGCTATCCCTGAACCCTGCCACCGAAGGCCCACACGAAAAAGCTCTGCCACTGACAGATCATGTCGACGGCTTATCTTGACCGTCTGGAATCCAGCGGCTTCAAAGCCCGAACCATCCACCCCGAAGAATGCCCTGAGAGCAAGCGCTCCAAAAACAGTGTTTCGCATGGTCCTGTCGGGCTGCGGTCAGCAGCTCGCGCAAAGGGTAGGCAGGCTGGCCGGATGCTTCGAGAAAGTCGGGTTTTTGTGGTGTTTAAGGGTTGTGTGATCCTTCTGAATTTTTGTTGTAGGATATAAGAAGGCGTGCGGCCTTCCGGAATTGGATGTCAAAGGTTTCAATGTGGAGGGTTCGGGGAGTTGTGCACAGCAGCATTCATTTAAGATTCGGAGACTTTCAGAGGACCGGCAGCCCAAACCCCAAACCCTACCAGTACGGTACCCCAAGGACAGCAAGGGCTCGCTTCAACGACTCTTCGTGGAAGCTTCCAATGCTGCCCGAGAGCGCAGATCCCCAAGAGAAGTCCCACAACAGCCAACAGCTCACACAAGGCCTTCCTTGACCCACTAGAACCTACTTTGTTATAGGGTCCCTATAAATCCCATATGAGGGTTATAATAAGAACCTACGAAAAAGTGGGTTTGGGTAGGTTAAGGTTCCGAAAAAAGACCAATACACCTACACTCAAGACCAAAACCTGCAACCCTAAACGCCGAAACTCTGTCAAGACCATCCAAGCCTCGATAGTGCGGATGAACCGGATGGTGACACCTCGCATTCCGACTCGCACTCAACACGGTGTAGGGTTTAGGGTTT